AGAAACAAAGTCTTGTACACGTTGAGTTACAACTCACGATCGACGGTCGTTTCTAATTCAAACTGAGTTTCTGTCGGCCCGTGCCCGATGGCAGTGCTGATAATTGCGATGCCTTGACGGACTCGAACTAAGGTCTTGGTATTCAGGTTTAATGCTGATCAGGGGCCAAGGTTCAATTGTGAGGCTGTCAAGTCGAGTTCTCGAACTTCACCACCGGCAAATAATCTCACCCTGACTCAAACACGGCATTTAGATTGTCTTGAGTCTATGGTTCACTGGCAATTTGGGCCACTGCACCGGAGGTACTTGGCGGACGGACGCTGCTACATCGTCCGTGGGTTAAGTTTAATTCTACCTTAATTCTGCCTTCACCGTAGCCTTAATGGTGATCTGCCGAACGTGCTTTGCAAATCACTTTTACTTTTTGGCAAGGGTCGATCATCAAGCCCAAAGAGTCGATTGCTTCAAGATGCCAAGCAAAGCATTTTTACAAGGGTCTTGATGAATTGGGCAAGAGGGCTCTGATCAGATACTGATGCCTGACCAACAGAAACTTCATCAAGCGGTACCTCACCACCAGCTCATCGAGTGACAAACACTGAAGACCATGCTGAAGCATGCTGTTACACGTGGTTCTTAACCTCTACGTCAGGTATGAATCCCGTCATCATGAGAATCGATCCCAGACACTTACCGACACGTGAGGGTACTCAAGCTGAAGGCACAATCCACCTCATATCAGCTGAAATTATAGGATTTGGAAGTTGTTCTAGGCGCAAAGACGTCAGTTGTGAGCACGCAATACTTACAAACGACACCATGGCACAAGAAATTAAAGCACAGCGACAAACCTCAAGTGCTCTCTCTATGCTCAGTTACTACATTCCCAAGATATGAAGTGGCTCTCTCCAGCATTGACTCCGCTGCTATCATTGTCACACATGCCGATATCCCAGAAACTTGCATATACATCTGAGCTAACGAACAGTAGTCTGCATCAACAAGCCGGCTTTTACTTCGTGACTTTTATAGCCGGTCTCAAGGTCCTACGAATGGTCATTTGTACCGCAATCCAGGCTCGTCGACAAAGATTCTTCTGTCCTATCGGGGTACTCTCATAATGGATGCGGGACCTAGTCAAGGACCTCCAGATTCATCCATGAATTTGTCATGCCATACAGGCAGGAGGGACGCCAAGAAGCTCCATTTGAACAAACGTCAACGGGAACGACAATTACCTGATCACGGCGTTGAAGTCCGAGAGAGGTTGCGTTCTTGGCCCTGTTGGCCCGCAAATATCTGTTTATTGGACTTCGAAACAGAAAGGTTTGCATCGCGCATCAAACAGTGGCGGATAAGACTTGCATGAGTCCATGGATTATCACGTCGATTGGCTTGAACATCGCAACACCCTCAAGATAGCTAAGCCCAAATAGTCTAATAAGGCACCTTCAAGATCTAAGCAAATGCCGGATCTTGCCACACCTTTTCGATCTCTCTCTTTGGGTCGAGACGTACTACACCTAGGACGGTAAAGACCAAGTCAATTTCAGCCCTTGCTGTTGATGATACACAAAAGTCAAAAGAAAGCTTAGGTACGGCTCGCATCTGAAAAGTGAAGCCGAAACAGTTACTGATAGCGCGTGGTCCGAAGTTAGATCCAGTTGAGATAACTGTGCCAGCTACGACCAGGAGGGAGTGTGCATCCGTGGCCAATGTCGGTCCGCCCGTGGTTAGCCTACACGACGCTATCGTCGTTCAATTTGACGTTGGATCTGTCGACCTGTCGACGCGGCGTCTCGCTGCCGGGTGACAACTGCAGGGCCCTAGACATCCCACGCTGATGCACTGGACCTGGCGTTGTTTCGATGCCTTGCATACATTGAGCTCTCACGTTTTTTCGGAGCACAAACAGGTATGACATTGTCGCTCAGCCCTGTGACACTCCCTTGATGCCAGACCAGCTCGAAGACGCCAAAGAGGTGCAACCAAAGAAACAACGCCCTTGTCAGATCAATTGTGAACCCTCAGGCCATGATCATTCACGTTGTCCAGGTGCAGACATGAAATGCTCCTCTTGTTTGGTCAATTGCTTGGCGAAAGCTGCCATGCTAACGCCCACGATGTTCCAGACTCGAGACCCGCTGCAGGTGCAAGACCTGACACGTACAAGGCCAGGGCATAACGAGAGGACATATGCATCAGCACTGTACTGTTTGTATGGATGAGGACGGTAGTTACGGTGCGACAGAAACAGGCTCCGCTTGAGAGTTGACGAGGGACAGAAAATGCCTCACTACAACAAACCCAACTTAGCCAAGCCAAGCAAGCTAACAAGGCACATTGAACGGCTTTCAGCGGATAACTTTTATTTACTTGCCTGAGTTGGTAAGTGGCTCCATTGGACTGAATCCAACAGTCTGGAAACACGAGCTCCATCCATCACAACTCAATTGCTTGCCTGTACTACAACCTAGTTACCTATTGATGGATAGAAGGAATCAACAGCAACATCAGCCATGGCTTGTTCAGGCCATGGTGGCGTCATTCGTCTCGGCATATAGAGCATCATCCTTTCCTTGATGGGTTCAGCTTTTCTTGAATTGTCTCTTGGAATAAGCGCACCTGTTGTTTGTCAATGCCATGCCATGCTTCGGTACGGCAGAGCGAGCGAGCGAGTCTCATCAAGACACACCAATTACGTATCATGATGAGACGTGGAGTCGCGGTTACAGTCCAGTACCTACAGAACTGCAACATGACATTTAAACTCAAGGAAGCTATTTCGATCCGGGTTACGGCGTCAGTCTCAATGACGAGTGACAGTTGCAGACACTGCACAAGGCATGTCACCAGGTGTTGCCGTTTTAACCTACTTGTCGGTTAGGTTGCTGAGATGAGGGGTGAGATGATGCTATCGAGCTTCTCCCCCTCAGTCTCTCGGCGTCCAAAGCCAACCACGGGATTGGTCAATTCAAGGATCGCCGAGCATCTGACAAAGGCTATGTATCACGGTCTGGCTGGTCTGGGTATTTTTACTCTTTCCATGCATCTTTTCTAGACCCCATTTGGCGCCGGCTTGGCCGCGCAACTCAACTGACCACAAGCTTTTTAACAAGCTTACCATTTGCACTGTAACTTAACTGGCGAGGGGTTCCCATGGCCAAGAAAGACAGTGCAATACCTACTATTTTAGACGAGGGGAAACAAGCTCTTTTCTCAACGCAGCAACGTGCATTCTCAGCGGCACAGCTCGTCGCTCGAACCTTGGCTTTTCTTGGCCCCGTGGTCTCGCCTAAGAAACACACAAAGTTGTTGAGACAGGCACCGGCACCACGCCCAAAGCTTCAAACTCAGCTGAGAAGCTATCTTCTGTGTCCGTACTACGAGGATAACTGTGGATGAGGAGCAAGCCACTTCCGTTTTCCCCCGCCATGTACCCCATATTCTTGGCGGAGACGTCTGCTTTAAGTCCAACGAAGATCCTGGGGGACCAGACTAAAACTACCTAATGGTAATGGAGCCTGCCACATGGTTCTTTGCTTTGCGTTGGGTATCACCAAATTCATCTGCATCTGGGGTGCATCGGTGGCGGGCAAGTAAGACTCAAATCGGCCATTGCGCACCCTTTACAGAGCGTAGATGGTGCTACACAGTATAATTTCACGAAGCCATGAGCTGAGTTTAGCTGAGGAGACCCAATCATCAGGAAAATCGCATTCTGCCCTTGCTCGATACTTTCTGTCGCATAACATCCTTCACACCAACTTGAGTTAATGATGAAGCAGCAGACGGGACCTTGACTGTCACTTTCTCCCGCTTGTCCGTTCTCGAGAATCGGGGATATAGGTAGGCTGTTTGGGTGTTGAGCTGCTACCTTCCAGGCTGGTTACAGGTTACAGTGAGCACTGGACGTCATTTCTTTGTGCTTACTCTGCCGTTGTGATGTACACAAGGGCACATGAAACACTCGCTCGGTACGAAGACGAGCAAGTTCAGAACTGTCGTCGCCTGGTATCTGACACTTGTGCTGCTGCCGAGTGGTGGCAAAGTGAATGCAACAATGAGAATCAGGCATGACATGACCATGCTGTCCAGTTGGCCTGTTTGACACATACAACTTGGCCCCCGGAACCCGACACAACGTAATACATGCTGCATTCAACTCCTTCCAACACCTCCATCTCGGCGTTGCGGAACTTTCACGATCTCTGTCTTGCATTTGCCTTTGTGGTTTATCTGTCAAGGGGTGTCTCTTGCAATGGAATGTCTTCCCGAGATCGTCCACGACTCAACTGCTTTGTGACTAACACGTGGGGGCTTCACGACGATAATCACCCGGCGAAATGACCATATGAGAATATTCTCTCCCGAGTGCAGTAACAATGCTGTTGTCTGCTTGTCTTTATGGAATGGTTTCGAGAAATCCTAAGCCGGTTAGTGATGCATGTGAGTGTCAAAGATGCCGTTAGCCGGGCCGAAAGCATCGCGACGAGGGCGTTTAATCAGTATACTTTGTAGTCTGTCCCCATTTCGAAAGCATTGAGGGTTGCTTTGAAGTCAAGGCAAGCTGCTGTCGGACAAATCAATGCTCCCAAAGAATTATCCAGCCGTTTGTCGTTCTGTTTGGCGAGCTGAGGGGTGTCAACCCGGGGCTCCCCTGTGGGAATGCTCGCTTTTCAGCATGTTCAAGCACCATTCATTCATGAGCTGGATCGACGGCTCAAGACAAGTAAAGTTCATCTGATGACACTCGCAATCGAATGGCAGATACGGCTATCTCGATGTACAGTATAGGCTGCGTGTAATCACTGCTCAATTCCTAAGGTATATCTGATGTAGCACCTATAACCAAGTTCTCATCCACCGTCCAGCAACGCCGATCCAATAATAATTATAAAAAGGCAAGTTCCATGAAGGAAGCTTGCTCCATCAGAGACCTCTAGTCATCCCCAACCTGCAGTCCAGAACGCCTGGTTTCCTCTCCCTTTCTTTGTTTGTTACTTGACTTCCTGTGCAGTGGGCTGTACAGGGTCATTGATTTCCATATCTAACGGTTCGTTATCCATCCATCCAGAAAAGTCGTCGTCGTCGTCTGCTGCTGCTGCTGGAGGGAGAGATTTTGCCTCTATAGGATTGGCTGACTTTTCATCTTCTTGCACAAGTGAGGATTCGTTGGTGATCACCGAGGGAGGGTGAGATGTTCCGCTGTCTGTCACTGTCTGCTCATCACTTGAAGCCCACACTTGATGGTTTGAAGGATCATCACCCGATGGTGTAGCAGGCTGAGAGTCCTCTGGGGCGGCAACGACGAATACATTCTGTCCATTGTCCGGCTCAGGTGCGTGGCTCTGTCTGCGCCGTCCGCGAGAAGGTAAGGGAGGACGGTGTTCGCCATGCTTCTCATTCTCATGCTCATGCTCAGGATGATTTTCGTGGTGAGTCTCAAGAGACTCTACTGAATTGTGTCCAGGAACTGGCTTCCTCGTAGGAACGCTCGTCGGGGGTGCTATCCGCGTCATGCCATTTGTAGGCTTGGGGAGAGGTGTTCCTGGAGGAGGTAGTGGTTGACCTCTTCCCATGGGCTGACTGAGATCAAGATGGCTTGCTTGCTCTGCCTGTCTGCGTGCTTCCTTGTGTCGTTGATAAGCGTTCCAGCCCCATTGTTTGGCTTGCAATGCTGCATTTGAAACAGCCGCCAGCGTAGTCTGTCTCTGTAATGGATTATTCTGATGATCTCGGGAACCATCACTTAAGTCCGCCTCCTCCTCTACTTGAACAGGGACCTCTGGATGCTCACGGCGTGTAAAGAAACTCCTTCCCAGTGACCCTGTCTGGCTCTTGATGGACTCTTTCAAGGAGGCAGCAGAGGAACCTGGTCTTTCATCGGTGTGAGATGAACCAGTCGACGAGGTCGTGTTACGGCGGCCTATGGCAACTGGGGTCTTCTGAGTGTCTTCCGGTACGTCATTGTTGAGGGCTTCGTTTGCTGATGAGGAAGAGCGTGAAGATCGGGTTGACCGTTGGGAAGCAGACGATGACTCCAAAGGCGCATCTGAAATCTGAGGGGGTTTGGGGGAGGCGTCGTGTGAGCGGGAGTGCAAAGCCGCCATGTAATTAGTAGCATGATCAGGCGGTGATGTCGATGGCTTGAAAATATCAGCGTGAGCGGCATCAGTACCCACGATAGGCTGTAGGGACGTCTTGGAGATCTTGGGCTTCAACACTGGGCTTGCCCCCGGTCCCTTAGAGTCGACACTGGTTGATGAAGCAGAAGCAGAAGCAGAAGCCTGAGGGTTGGTGCCTGTCCTGCTAAGTCTGCGCCCAAAGAGACCTGTTGGCGGCGGTGTTGCTTCCATGACTGGGACTGTCTGGCTCTTTTCCAGAGGTTTTGTCTCCTCTGTTAAATCCGGGGTTCCATCAAGATGGCTGACAGCTGCCACATCTCCTGCTGCAGCAACTATACTTTCAGCATCACTAGTGGGAACCGTGGCGTCATCTCCTTCAAAGATACCGCCTCGCCACTGCTTGTGCTCCGTCTTGAAGAAGGGCATATCGTCCCAGAATGGCAATACGACTGTTTCTGCAATGACTTCCTTGATACGATTCTCAATCTGTCGAAGGATGACTGTATAAGTGATTTGTCTCGCACTAACGATGGGCTCGATATCCATTTCCATCTTGGGCATGCTTTGAAAAGTTACCCAGACTCGGTTGCTCGGTGGCGGTTTGATCTTGAACAGCATATGACCCTCAGCTCTCTTGAGAACAGCTGCGAGGACAAGGTTGACTTCCCGTGCTTTAAATCTAGCGCCGAGGTCGATCTTTGCCGTGGCGGCGATTTCAATACGAGCATTTCCTGAGTATTTGACGTCGGCTTCAACGACACATTCTCCCTCAACTGTCAGATCCTTGAGTTTGAAGTTCGTAAAGTAAGGTGCTGCCGAGCCGGTGTCAATTCCGTTAATGGTAATATGAGTAAGAAATGAAGGTCGCTTAACGCGAGAGATCTTTTTAGTGAGCTTCTCACGGATGAAGGCCTCGATATCCTTCGTCTGGTTGATACCTAGGAAGACTCTCCCAAGCAATGCATTCAGCCATCTCGAATGGATGTTCTCTTCCGTAGAGTGAAGCTTCTGGACCAGCGAGATGATATTCTTAACATCGAAATGCAATGGCTTCGGCACTTGGCCATCCACCCCAAAACTCTGCTCTTGGTTTTTGAGCAGGGCAAAGTAGAAATCTTCTTTGGCTGAACAGTTTTCAGAGAACAGGAAGAAAGGTTTAGAAACAGGGCTGTCAGAAGTGAGTTCAGTACCAGCCTGTTTTCGGGACAGTCGGATCGCATTTCGCTTGATGAAGAGTTCGCCTTCAGGAGTGACATCACCGCCTGAGTATATACTGATTTCGTGGTATGCCAGGGAAACAACATGTCGAACTTCAACCTGTTCTTCGTCGTCAAACAACATAAGATGGCCATGTCTGGACAAAGGTCAGTAAAGGGATGTGGGGTGTGGATAAGCTGTACAAACCTCAAAACCACATAGAAAACGTTGCCCGCATTCTTGGGCCGTTGACTCGTACTGTTGCTGTTGTTGTCTAGAGGTCCTGGTGTGGGCTTCCTCTCGAATATGCTCCGGTACATGGTCTGATAGACACTGGGACTCGAAGGAGCCACGGTCGTAGATCCCACGGGTGTTGACCGTTCAATAGGCTTCGCATTGATCCCCATAGGCGTGTACTCTCTGCACACAGCGAAGAAGCCGGCGGCTACGTCGAGGTCGTTCTCGTGCGCGCGGTTGTCTTTCTTGTGCGACCGCTTAGCGGCCTCGAGGGCGGTTGTATCATCGTCCTTGTCGACGATGGGGCTGTATTTCGGTTCGTTCGCGGTGTCGTCGACGATGGGAGAGGTATAGAATATGAACGCCAGCACAGACACTATGGCCAGCGGTATAAAGGTCAAACCGCCGAGGACGTATGCTATAAGCAGAGACTTGAAGGTGGCCATGGCTCCGAATTCCGGAGCCACAAAGGCTCTCTCAAGGGAGCTTTGTGCGCAGGAGGGGCACTATACTACACCCTAGGCTATAGCTAGAGGATACAGCGAGAAGGACGCATCGGATGGAGTGGAAAAGACCAAGGTCGATCAGGTACTGAAGGGAGAAAAAGGTAGTTGACGATGCGAGATCTTGGTTGGGGGAGACGGAATGATTATACGCGGAGTTAGTTGATAGGCTGGCACTTTCAAGTGAGTGTATGTAAGTGACACCGCTAGAGGCTAGAGGTACCATGCCATACCAACCATAGGTACCTTGGGAAGGTCGGGTCGGGTGAGGTAAGGCTAAGGTACCTCGAGCTTACGGGCTACATACGTCATGTGATGAATCCACTGGCTGACAGGCCTCCCCCGCTGTTCGCGACTAGGACAAGGTACCTTGTAAAGGCCAATATTCACGGAGACAGCGGCAAAAGAATGAAGGAGCTTCAGCGGGTCTCACTGGAAAATGCAGTGATCAGTCACTAATATTCTCATCCGATGATTATATGCAGTAAGTAAATATCTCAGGCACCGTACATCGTGAGAGGTGCAGTTCTCTGACGTACAGCAAGATCCTTGATTTGGCAAAACTACTAACGTAGATGATCGCCGTAGAAGCACTAATTCTTCGATGGGAATGGGCTGAAATACGTACCGCACTAACAACCATGAAAGTCGAGGCCGTTTCTGCTGGGACCTGAAACTCAAATCCAGTGGAGGCATCACAAGGTCTCTCTCGTCTCTTGTCTCTGGGTGGAGGCTGCTACATATGACCACTCTCAACTGAAATCTGTCCTCAGCCTCGTTTAACAAACGCAAACAGCCCATAAAGTCACACTTTATGGCTTAAAGGACAACGTTGGGCTGTCTAGAACCACTAAGCGAATCACTTGCTCTCGAGGTCGTCACTAGTCGAAATGAACAGAAATATAGTAGACAGGCAGACCTCACATCGCCATCAACAATCAGTCTAATACGAAAGTCTCATTCAGTCATCAATACCCCTCGCCTAGAAACTCTCCAAGCACATCGCGTCTATACGCAAGCTCCTTCTTCTCTTTTGACCACAGCCTCGAGAACATTACATGAATCAATACTTCTCAGGTAAGCTGCGTTATACTAGACAACACCTGGACAGTAGACAAGACAAAAACTCCTGTAGGTTCCTTCCCAGCTTCCCATGCGCTGATCCGATTGAGAGAGGTCTGCTCAAACAAATAATGTGTTGGCTAAAATGCAGTGTGGTGTGGTGTGTTGATGTTTTTTTTTTGGTGTTTTTCCGTCTCCGTCGATACTACACTAGATCGGCAGATCCAATTGTGGTTGGGTGGTTGGTTGGCTGCAATGGCGTTTGCAGAACAGTATTATAAGAAACAAAGACAAAGTAGGAAAGTTTGACAGGTCGTAGCCGGTGTTTGGCTGTAGTAAGGTGATTATAGTCTTTTGGTCGCAGTGCTCCTGGGTTCATTGTCAAGGACGCGCAGCAAAAAAGTCAAGAAAATCATAAGTCTCGTGAAAGTCCGTGAAGGATGTCGATCGTAACAGTTGGTGTTTGCCATACAACAGTGTATTGCTCGAAATGGTGTTCTACAGGTAATGGAATAAATGTGTAGGTGAATGAGTCTGCATGTGCTTAAACTCGAGAGCGTAGAGAAGACATAGTAGTATGAGAGTGTGTAAGTCCTGGGTGAGAGTGCGTGTGAGTGCTGTTGCCATGACGGCCTCGCTTGGAGAAATGGTGCAGAGTTCCGACATCATGTTTGCCTGGATGATTGTTAGTATATGTACTCTCTCTCGTTCTTGCTACCACTTGAACCTACCATCGCAGCATGCTCGGACATTCTCGAGACGGTCAGCTTCCCTATCCTGCCGCTCGATGATCTCCCTCACATCCTCGGCACTGTCGTGGGCCTCGCTAGCTTCATAAATGTTAACGTTATGGGCACTACCACGGCCGCGGCGACTTGTGAGCGTGCCAGACAGCTGGCTTCCCTTCCAATAGCCACTCAATTTGCTCAGCGTTCCAGTGGGGCGCTGTGGCTGAGCCTTGGGTGTCAGAGTTGGAATGTTCATAGACATACCAACTGCAGGCGACTCATTACGGGTTGTTCGAGAGTTATAGGACGACAGAGAAGGAGGTGCTCCAGGTCGTGTCCCGTTAGCCGCGCGCTGTCCAAACTGGGGGTTGAATTCATCAACATCCTCTCGAGTGAAGTTCTCCGCCATGTCCTCGACATTAGCTTGTTCATTGTTGGTACGGAGAAGCAGGTACGAAAGCGAGTTGAACCAGGTCTCGTGTCGTTGTCCAGTAGCGCAAGTGAACTTGATGGTTCGGCCAGGAGAGATGATGACCAAGCTCTTACGATGGAGTCCAGGAGGACTGGGGTTATCGTCAGTAACGACACGCACAGCCTCGATAGGAACACTCTTGGCCTTGAGCTCAGTGCGACCGGCAGTTGAGGGGTCTCGGTCGCTCCAGTAAAGAGTCCTAGTGTAAGGGTGAACCCAGAAGTAGCGGCGATGTCGGTTCTCCGACATCTCTCCACGACCTGTCTTACGAGTGTACTTCCACAGATACTCGCCGATCATGGTCTGGGTGATAGCCTGGATCATGCGGGGATCAGTGTTGGGTCCGAAGCCGGAGGGATCCATGCCCATCTCGCCAGGGCGCATGTTAAATCGAGTGTCAAGCTCTGAAGCGAACGAGGATACAGAGGACTTCCTAGATGCAGCTGTATGCTTCGATGGCGATTGTCTTCCGAGTTCACCGTAGCTGACAGGGTTTCGGACAGTACGCTGGGTAGGCGTAGCCCGAGCGGTGGACGCTGGTGAGGCGGCCCTGTTCCCTGGGGTGGTTGGCCTTTGCTTAAGCGCCGAAGCAGGCCAAAGAGGTGGTCCCATGTTGTTCTGAGGGCCATGAGACGAGTTGGATCGCGCAGCCTCGATGACTTGGCGGTGGTTCGCAGGCAGAGGAGGAGCATCTTGGACGGATGCTCTGCCACTCCTGGAGCTTCCAGGACGACGGATGGGGCTGGTGTTGAAGACATCGTCAGTGTCACGTTCGTGCTGGCTTGGAGTCTCGAACATCTCCTGTGATCGCCGAATTCGGACCGTGCCTGAGGTGCCAGTGGTTCCAGGAGTTCCAATGCTGGCCATCGACAGGCTCTTCTGATGGCTGAAGGCAGACTGGGCACGAGCCTTGAACATGGCGTCAATGACATCAGCTGTAAGAGATGTCTGCGCACCTTGATCGTTCATGATAACTACAGGCTTGTCGAAAGGTCGCTCCGAGTCCGGAGTGGCAGGCTCAGGAGTATCACTAGGAGATTGACCGTTCTCATCCTCAACCATGAGAGGCGATGACCCTTGATCAATGCCGCGCTGGTTCTCAGGTGTTCTTGGCACATCCTGCTCCATGAAAGGTGACTTCATATCGCGGGGCAGAATGAATCCGTCTCTCTTGGGGGTTCGGGGAGAGACAGGGAAGGTTTCGATAGACTCGATGTTGGAGAATCCAAAAGCAGGCAGCGTAGGTGTCTTGTGGACAGGACTGACAGGCTCGACACCTTCGGTCGCAATATCGGACATTACGAGAGTAGGAGGCAGAGGAAGAGGCTCAAGTACAGGCTCGACGTTCTCAGAGGTGATACCAGACAAAGCCAGAGATGGGGCAGGCTCAGATACAGGCTCAACATTCTGTGTAGACAGACCAGAAAACACGAGGGTAGTAGGGGTGGGAGGAAGCTCCTCACGAGGCTCACAACCCTCGGCATAGATGGAAGACAGGTTGAGAGATGGCTTAGGAGCCACCTTCTCTGGCTCGCTGATGGGCTCGACGGATTGAATAGTAATGGAAGAGAGGGCCAGATCGGGGGGAGGGAGATCAGTGGGCTCGATATATTCTCCCTGGATGGCAGAGATAGTCAGCTCAGGAGCCGACTCGATGACTGGCTCGACCTGTTCACCATGAATGGTTGAGATGGTGAGTTCAGGGATGACAGGCACTTGAACCGGCTCAGCGATGGGCTCGACTACCTCACCCACAATGTTAGACATAGCAAGCTCGGGTGCCTTGCTAGCGACAGGCTCAACATTCTCTCCTTGGATAGCAGAGAAACTCAGAGCAGGAGCTGGAGGCAGAGAAGGAGCGACAACAGCAGGGATAACAACCTCGGTCTCAGGTTGCGCAACTGGCGCAACATGCTCGCTTCGGATGGTGGACATGAGAAGCTCAGGAGCAGGGACAACGGGCTCAGAAATGGGCTCAATGTTCTCTCCCCTAATGTTGGAGATGCTAAGCTCGGGGTTCTTGGGGGCGACAGGCTCAACGTGCTCGCCAATGATGGAGGACATTGACAGAGCTGGAGGTGGTGGCATGAACATGACAGGCTCCACAGGTGGCTCGGCAATCGGATCAACAATCTCAGTTGAGATGGAGGAGAGGCTCAGGGCTGGAGCTGGAATCTCAGGCTCTACGATAGGCTCAACTTGCTCAGTGGCAAAAGTAGTCATGGACAGATCAGGCGGGGGCACCTCAGGCTCGGCCTTGGGCTCGAGGCTATGAGCCATAATGCCAGACAAGCTGAGAGCTGGAGGCAGAACGACAGGCTCAGCGAGAGGCTCAAGGTCTTGAGAAATGATTGAGGTCATTGTCAGGTCAGGAACAGGGCTTCCGGGCTCAGACACGGGCTCAACGCTCTGGTTAGAGAGGGCTGTGAAAGTCAATGCCGGGGGAATTGGAACCACTTCAGGCTCCAAAACGGGCTCAACCTCCTCAGACTCGATCGAGGACATAGTCAAGTTGGGGGGCAGGATCCGTAGCATAGATGGAGGAGCTGGGAACAGAGCCAAGTTCTTCTCCATGTCGGGGTCATGCTGAGCGCCAGCGTCACTGTAGGTCATAGAAACTGGCCTGGAGTCAGCGAGACTGTCATATGCCCAAGAGGGAATACGACGGTCACGATCGCCAG